AGTTTATTAGATATTCAACATTCAAGGCATTTAATATAAACTCTTTTGCTACTACTTGCAATACTGGAAGACCAAAGGAGAGTGCTGTTGTGAACTTTGAGATCAGGAGATCTGCAGAGAGGGGATTTGTACCTTAGTGGAAGTGCTGAGCAGCAGGAAGATTACATTCTCTTCTACATAAAGGAGAATTAAGCAGGTTTTCATCTCTCTTTTTGCAAAGATGGCAGCAATCTCTAGTGGTGGAGTGGACTTTCCCCTTCTTCAGTGAGATGTTGGAGCACGATACTGAGACAGGGCTGGTCTGTGAGCAGGCTGGAGCAGAGGTGACTGGTGTTTGCTGGGCTAAAGATGGGATTTGGGTGCCTGAAGCCTGAGAGAAGAAGCAGGTTTAGGAGATGAGGAGCAGCAGAGAGGAGGAGGGATGAAGGTTGCATGAGGTCCAAAGGACAAAGCAAGTAGGATTTTTGCAGATCCCTGGCACTGCACAGTGACTACTTGAGAAATGTTCATATAATTGAGAGGTGTCCAGGAAATGTAAAAGGAAGAGTTTGAAGGTGGGCAAGCACACAGTTCAGCTGTGCTATCAGCAAGGTGTATCAAAAGCTGATGAGCAAAGCACTTCCTTTGCCTCGTTTATGACAAGTGAAGAAAGGAGCAGGGCTGTATTGAAATATGTGTGGTAGGAGCTCCATTCATGTGAAGAGGCTGCATTCAGGGCCTTACAAAGGCTATGAGTCAACTGCAAAGAAAAGAGGCATTTCACAGAAACTGAAGTGTGACCCTTTGTTTTGCCCAACCCCAAGGTCCTCAGTGACACGAAAGGGGACCCCAGCACTGATTCTGCAGCAACAAATGCCTGTTGTGAGTGAGCATATATGAGGAACAGTGACAAAAAGGAATGACCCAAGGTTCTTGTTTCCAGACCTTGTTTCCCAAGGGACTGTCAAGGAGGGAGTCCTCCGTGCAGCCTGACTGAGGTGGGGAGATGAAGGTGCTGGAAGGCTCTTCCTAGTGGATGCATTTCCCTTGAACACCTCTCCTGAAATGTATGATCTGATCATCCACATGTACTACTATTAGGACACCTGGATAATGAGGCTTTTGGACCTTGCTCTGCAAAATGTATAGAAATTAATATGTCTTTTATTCAGCTGTTATGTGAAGTGGGGTTTTTCTAATCTGGCACTGGCAAGGGGTTACTGTCTCAGTAGCCCTGCCTTTGTTTTAACCTTCCATTACTCCATGACTACTTTCTTTCACAATCAAAGCAGACATGAAAGGGATGTTTTGCTTTGCTCTTTTCATTATTCCAGAGAGCTCTAAGTCCCTATTAAAATTCATGATGGAATCAGGGTGAAGAATGATGGATTTAAAGGTATCATAAAACTCTTCCTGGTAAGTAGTAGTCCCCAAATATATTCCAGTTGTGACCTGAGAGAGGCTGCTGGAGGCATCCCAAGCAGCCATGCACTGGGTCTAGAGATCCTTTGAGCTGAGGAAATTCATTTGCATATGGTGCCATGCTAAGGAGGCCAGCCTGGATTTCATTACTGCTAATGATGTGTGTGGGAGAAGTGATTTAGTTTATAGCCCTGCCAGGCATGGCACAGTGAGGAAGTACTTAATTCTTACAAAGCTCTTTCTTGCTTCTAAGACCTAAAAATCAGGAGACTTCAAGCAGCTCCAGTGTTACAGATGTGGTGTCTTCACGATCATGATCACGAAGGAGAGAAAAGGAAACATCAAGATGTAGTATTGAAGTCATAGGGGAAAGCATAGGAGGAGAAATGAAAGGGAATGAAAAACAGAAGAAGAGAAAGACCAACAGAGGATGAAAAAAGCCAGCAGAAGAATTGGCTCTGCTGGAACTGTGGCTGCCAAGGCTGGATGTTTGGACTTTTGAGGTGACAGAATTTTCACTGGGTCTTTGCCATAGTCTTCACAATTCAAAATGCAGGCTTGCCTTAAGATGCCCATCTTTAGAGATAAGTTTCTGAGAACTGGAATGGAGAAAAGGGATCCCAGGATACCACTGGAGCTGGAGTAATTGGGAGTTGCTGCACTGCCTGAAAGCATCTTCCTACTCCCCTGGAGCCACCTCTGCTTTTCTAACAGACATTGCCTCAAAGGGGAAAGGAGAGAGACCTGGGAGCAGGATCTTGGCATCTGCTTCAAGGGTCAAAGGGGCTACTATGCTCAGGCATCTTCAGGAAGAGCTATTTGAACTGGGATCAGTGTCTTGGGTAGTCTCTCAGCTGTGAGTGATAAATTCATCAAGCAGAAGAAATGATCCTGAAAGAAGGAATGGGTGAGGCAAATAAATCAGAGGGATTAAGGCACACCATACCAGCATGCTGAAAGTGTCTTGAGCATGCACTGCCCCCAGGACAGAATTTAAAAGGTTGAGAAGGCTTGGAGGAGGAACCCAGTTCTCAGGTTTATGGGTCTCAACCCCTCTGGTGTTTTATACTCCCCTGCTATCATTGCACAGGGTAGCAGGGAAGAAGGGCTGTGAGCTGCTATCCATTGCTTGGGCACAGGATCTGACCATCCACCCGCAGCCCACAGTATAAAAACCTGAACAAAGATCTTTCAAGAGGAATTACTCCTGCCTTATTCATGGCACAGCAGCTGGTTGTAATGAATTTTAACTGTTTGGCTGCAATCACCCACAATGCATGCAATCAAAAGGGTTATGGCCCTGCTCACTCCTACAGCAGCCTGGAAATACTATCTCTGAAAATACAGGACGGTTTTGGGAACCTTGATTTAAGCATTGTTGTTCTGCAATTTTCTGAAGAGGAAAATCAGCTGGTCAGTTGGACAGGGGGACGTGAACTCCACTTCAGTAATCTGTGAATGGGAAATGCAGTTTGGAGAGTTCCCTGATTTCTGCTTCATCCGAGTTGAACTCAAAGGGTACGGAACAGTGACATTTAGCTGGGGTTACAGGAAATTAAAATATTGTTAACTTGATATTGCAATTGAATTTTGAACAGCTGTAAGATGTCCTTAAAGAACAAGTCCCAGCTTTAGCATTTGTATGTCCCTGAGAAAATACTGAGATTTGCTGAACCGATGGCCTTTGCATGTGGTTTTAGGCCAACTGTCGCCTCCTGAATGTTTTAGTATGTGCAAGTCACTTAAGATCTTCATACCCAGCTGTCTGAAAACAGCACACAGATTTCACCAACTATAAGAAATGAGAAAGATGATTTATCATAAAAGAAGAAGCAGGAATCAGCTACATTTAGAGATAATCTGAAGAGCAAAGGTGAGACAAAATAAAGTGCAGTAATTTCCTAGACCAAGGGGAAAAAAAAAAAGGAGAAAAAGAGATTATGCCAATGCATTATTTTTACTGGGCCTCTATTGGCAGACTGAATTGTGTTGTGGATGGCTCATTTCTCCTCAGCAACAACAGCAGGTTTTAAATAATGCTTCATATTTCCCAGGTTTAGCAGATGAAGAAAAGTAATTGCTTGGAAGGCAAATAGAGCAGATTTGCAAACAGAGGAGAATGTTTTATGGCCAGACTTGCAAAGATTTGGCTCCTGCAGATGCCAGAAGACTCTGCATCTGCTTTAATCAATGTGGATTGGTCCTTCCTGATTATTTCTTTAGGATCATAATGGTTCTTAAGGCAGTAATTTTATATTATCTAGAACAGTGTGACTGTACAACTTCACAGAGAAGGCAACTTACCTGCAAATTTAAAGTGCACAGCTTTTGAACTGCAAGAACGTCTGGTTCAGAGAAGTCTGAGTTTTGTGTTTTGTTTTGTTTTTGAAATGTCAGTGTTCTTTCATGTCTGTATTTAGGACCCATTTGCCTTGAAATGTTGTATGGCTGGGCTTGCAAACACTTGGCTTCTACAGACAGCAGAAGACTCCCTATTTGCTTTGATCAAGAGAGTGTGATTACTTCTTTGAGATCCCCATGGTTCTTGGGGTGGTAGTTATAGACCAGCTACAGCGACATCAACATTCAGCTTTTCTTCACACAGAGGGCAACTCACCAGCAGATTGAAGCTGACTGTCTTCTCAGTTTATTAGCAAATGACCAAGAGAAAACCAAAAGAGCCTGGAAGTGCTGAGCAGTGCAGTGGTGGGTGTAGAGACACCCTGTGGTGTCACCTTGACTGCTTTAGTTACCATGACGGTTGAATTGGGTTGGAGTGTGATGGGATTTGGTCTCCCTGCATGTCCTCCCCGTCTCCCTGTTTATAGTGACCCTGCTGTAATGTATCTTCTTTTAGATAAGATCTTCTTTAAACATAAGAGGCAAGGAGAGAGGGGAGAGGGCAAGCAAGCACTGTATATAGCATCTGTAACATTTAATTATATGAGACGGGGGTTTTCCAATAGGCCTTGCAACACAAAGAACATTCAGTTATCAGCATCACAGTATATATTTTCTAAATCACAACACCCACACATTTCCTTAGCCAAGTAGAAGTTTTTCCTCCATGGCTGCATATCTAAAATTAGCCTGAAGGTCAAATCTGAATAGAAATACCCTTATCATTGAATGTGCTGGGAATGATTGGTGCAGTGGGCTCAATTTTCCCATCGAAAACCTTCATTTATTTTTTTTAAATAACAGTTCCTTTTACAGTCAAAGAGCTTGGAGAAAGGCAAAATGAGGCCCGCTGTATAAAATCAACATCAATATTCTGCTTTCACTGCAAGGCTATTTTTATTGCCAACTATTTTAAATGTAACAAGATGGATATAGTGAAGCCACAGTGTAAAAGATGCAGCAAGAGGCTTCTGAATAGCAAATCTGAGCACAGACATATGAAAGAAAGGCCTTGAAATTTGGAATATGTCTGTATATGAAGAAAGACACAATGAAGAATTATAAGTTAAGAAATACATTGTTGAGAAGAAGTGAATAGTTCAGGCCTAAAGATAGTTTTTTAACCTGCAGTTGTATTATGTGAGGACTAAGCAGCCTATGCTGCATAAACGCAAAAGCACTGTCCTGCAAGAAGTGCATTTATCAGCCACAGTGTTTTATTGAGTGCTTTAATAATACAAGTGTACATCAACTGATCCACAGTCAAAAGTGGCAGGTCCCTAAGAAATTTACAAGCACTTTTTTTTTTGTTTTTTAAGTAAATCAAAATACATATTAATTTGTTCAATGCAATAGCCTTTTGTGTGGGAAACAGAAGGCTAGTGATAAACACAGTCTTAGTAATGCACAGTGATTCTTGATTTTAAGCTTTTATACAAAACTTGTTCCCAGTAGCATGCACCCACCATTAAAGACTTCAGTACAAAAAAATAACCCTAAACACTACATTTAAGTAGAAATGAGATATAATTCTGAATTTGTTTGTTTTCCCCAAAACCACATGAAAGAAAAAAAAACCCCACACATTAATACAAAGCTTTCTGATAAAGCTCTATACTATTACAGATCCAACATTCTTTGCACTGATAACCAAAATTCCCTGTCTACATTTGAGGGAAACAACTTTCAAGTTAACAGAACAAAAAAACCCAGAACAAATAAAAATAAAAATAAACCAAAATGAAACAAACAAACAAAAAAAGGAAGTAAGGACAACCTTTTGTCACAAAATGGTTCAAGATTTAATAAAAAATAAGAATGAAGGGAAGGGCTATTGATGCACTTAGTGAATGTGCTTGCACAGGTCCAGCAAATCCTAGAGGAGGTTCCTATGTGGCGTATCGCTTGGTCCACTGTCTGGCCATTCTGTCGTGCTCTGCTCTGTTAGTCATGTACTGAGTGGCAATGCTTCCAACCAGGGGGTCAGCTGAAAAGGAAACACAAACCGTGAAACACACATCAGCCCCAGGAGGACGAAAAAGCTATTTTTAGATCCACATTCATTCAGTTCTCTTAGGTTTAACAAGGTGCCCACATATATCAGCCTTGTTTTCAAAGGAGGGAAGGAAGGAGATGAAGGTGGGATGGATGGCAATTAGCTGTACATGTCTCGTAAACACATAACTGAAACAATTTTCTAAAGTACTACCCCACCAAAAAAAAAGTTCTGATAATTTTATTTTGGGCTAAAACTCACCTTCAGGTGATGTAATTTATTTATGGTATTAGACTCCCACAACTATTCATATTCTTGCTTAAGAAGAGTATAAGCTCTAATTCTGTTATCAGGTTGAATATTGCTTTGTTTTTTTTAAATACTTTAATTTTAAAGCACAAAGAAATGTAAGAAATTAGGGCAGCAAGTACTATTTTCAAAGGAAGAGAAGTTAATTCCAGACTTTGGGATTTTTAATTTAATTTATGGGATTTTTCTGAGCGTTCCTATGAATAGAATGCTGCATTACATGGTCTGGATCTATGAATTTCTTCACAAATAATTAATGAAAACCAATCGGTCACCTAAAAAAAGCAATCCAATACAAGACACTCCCATAAGTGTTTGTATTTCATCAACAGTTTTTTTTTTGCAGACAACGTTTTTTCTCATTTTAAGCAGATAAAATTTATAGCTTCCCCTTTTTTTGAGGGGAACATATGCTCTTGATATTTCTGCTGCGACAGTAAATGGTCTGAGGTTGTACTCTGCAAGTCCAGAGACATTAATACCACACTTTTCCCTGACTTAGGACAGAGGAAGATAACTTCTTGTGAAAGCCAGGTATTAATCAGCTCTGTTGTCTGAAGATGGTGCCACTGAACAATCTGTGCATCAGCTTTCTCAGTACAGTTGAAATCTGAGTGTGGTTGGTGCTTGCACTGTTAACCACGGAAATTCCCAGGACAAGATGTCAGGCCTTATGTCAAGCAGAGGAAATCTGGGCTTTTTGTTTGGTTGTTGATGATAAGCGTTTATGATAGGGGAAACATATTGGCTTAGCCAAAAATGGTTTGATTGGCTGACTGCCAATCCCACCGAATATTAGTGAGTAATATCTAATAAAAAAAACCCAACTTTTGCTTTTCATGCACAACGTGCACTTTCAGGAAGAGCCTGTGATTTGAATGTTAAGTTTGCAACTTCTAAATTAGTAGGACGAGTAATCACTGTGACTCCAGTGTACTAAATCCCTGTAGTCTCAGCCCTGCAAGCACTTACTGCATGTGCTTACCTTTAATATCTTAATATATCCAGAGGAGGTCACTGAGGCCTGGACTGGATTATTTTTACATGCATGTGTGCAAAAGAAGTGTATCTGGTCTAAGATTAAATTTAAAAGCTGTAGACTGGAATGTGTATCACTTTTGAATCCACAAACAGGGAGAAAAACTGTATAGGGGATTATCTGAGGATTTTGTCCTGTGCAAGTAGGAGGTTAACAGTGTACAGGCTCTTAAGTAGCAAAAAGTTATTTGTGGCTGGAATGAGGTTTGAGAAGCACTGCAGGGTAAATGGGGAACCTGAGCTCCAGGAAAGGACAACATTTCTCTTCACAAAAGATTTCCCTAAATAGCAACAGGGAAACCTTGTCATAGTGTAATGGCAGCTTGGGGATGAGTGTGAGAGCACTGCTGCAAATTCCCACATCCTCCTCAGACACAAGGTCCTTGTGCAAAGAAAGACTTCCACAGACTCATGGAGAAATGGAGACTAATGGTTGAACTTGAAAGGAATCTTTGAAGCAAAATTTGAAGCATATCCTGGTTTTCGTGCTTGTAGGAAAAGGTGGGGTTTGGCCTCTGAAGCCTCAGGCTGGGAAGGGTTGCAGGAATATCACAGCATTACCATCTGGAATGCGGCAAGTTCTTACTGAGGTTCAGTGTGTATTTAAAGTGATGCTTCTGAGATCTTTATAAAATCTTGTATGAGTCAGTGAACAGGGATGTGCTGTAGTAAAGGTTTATCTAGCTCAAATCTGGAAGTTTTTTTCATGTGCAGGATAAATGTTTCTGCGAAAGCATGTCTTTCACATTGAGAGCTGTAAATTGATTTTCTTGATATACTGCACGAATAGTGAGGATCACATCATCATTCCCAAACCTGGATGATAATTAGAACGTTTGGTTTCCTAGTGTGGGGTTTCATCTATATCTCCTTTTAGGAGCAAGAAAGTATTTCAAAACCATACATCTTTACAAGGCTTTGGAAGGTACAGGCTCTTCCCCCACCTCCTTCCAGCACGGGACAGTGTCTCCTTTCCTTTGGGGTGAGAGAATCAGGGAGAGGCATTCTTGGTAAGGTATGGAAATCTGTTCAAGTCCAGTAATGTACAGAACTGGGCTGTTTATTTATCCATGTGTTCAAGCCTTTGTCTCTGCAGTCTTTTGTTTGGCAGTTGAAAGAGTGAAGTTGATGGCCTGTAAGATGTCTGAGATCTACAAAGCTTTTATTGTAAGTGTGTAAATTCCTGCTGAGAGACCTGAGAATCAACTATCAATCATCTCAGGTGCTTCTCCCAAGCCAGTGCCTCCCTCCACCGGTGTCTGCCTGTATGAAGCAGGACTGTGGAAGCAAAGAGAGGTCCTTGCTTGCTGTAGCATGAGCAGGACCAGCTGCACCCACAGCCAGCTGCCAAGTGAATGCTACTAAAAGGTACTTTCAGTAATTACAGCAACGACATTGATTTTTTTTTTCAGTTTGGCTGTGTATTTTGTTGGTTATAACAATACTAAATAAAAAACCAAACCCACAGTTTGGGAAAGCCACTTGCTCATTTGAGAGCAATGAGTTTATTTCAAGAACAGAAAAATAGTTATTGACAGTGAGGCTCAGCTATCTCACATCTCTGTCAGAGGGTCTGGAGCAGTGTCACATGTAAATATTTATGAGGACTTTAAAAAGGGCACTTTAATAGGTGCTTGAAGAACTGGCTTATTTTAGCAGTTGCTGTGAAGCCATAAAGCCATCAGGAGGCACAACTGCTTTGTTTGGGAAGCCAGGACAGCTGGCGAGGAGGGAAATTTAAACTTCAGACCAGAGCTGCCCAACCAGGGGCGCAGCAGCCAATTTGAAGCAGCACACTGCATTTGTGCCACAGGATGTAAGGACAGTGTGTGGGCTCCAGAAATGCCACTGGTCCCTCCCTGCAGCTGTGTGGGCAGCTCCAGCCAGCAGGTCCAAGGAGACACAGCTCTCAACACTTCATGTGTCACAAGTCACCACTGCTGCGTAATGTACCATGACAGGCCGTAACACAGAGATTACAAGATAAATTGAAGCATCTTAATTAAAACAATTAAATTATTTATCTCCCAACATGCACAAGCTTTTGTTATAGTGCCCAAGTCCTACAAAATATCAAGTACGAGGAAGAAATCCTACAAGTATGAGGAAGAAAAAATGGTCCCCATTTACCTCCCTATGCTATGTGGCACATGGCTGAGCACCACCTGGTGCTCAGCTGGGCTGCACTGTTTAAGGGTTCTTGTGAAATATCCATTAGTAGGGCCAAATATGTATTTATAAAACAACCACTGCATAAACTATCTAAGTAAGAGATGAAAAGGAAAATTTGATCTCAAAATTCATAACAACATTTTTCTTTTGTTTCCATTTCTCACTACCACAAAGCTTTATTTTCCATTTGTATATATCTGCGGTTTTAATCTTGATGCTAGAAAGTTGTTTCTATAACTAGTCAACTGCTCTAGTTTTTACTGTCTTTTTTCCTTAAAGAAGTAGCATGATTCATCAATGAATCAGGGTTAATTTCAGAATTTTACTCTAAACAGGACTGTGTCCAAATGACAACAATTACCAGGGGATAGGAGTATAAAGCTATGCCAGGAATGTGTTGGTGAAACAATCTTGTGAAAGAAATTAAAATAAACCCACAATAAATGAATTTAAAAGCATATCTATGCAACTCATGGCCTGGCAGGAGATCGCTAGATGTGTGGTGGCTGGCTTGAGAGCTGGGATGGCACCCTCTGTGCACAGCTCCTTCCCTGTCCTGTGGGCAGGAATGGGCTTCCCAGACTTTGGGGTGCTGGTGGCTGTGCCAGCCTGGAGGAGCTGCTGCAACTCTGTGGACCCAGAAATCTTTAGAACTTGTAATTTACTGTTCCTTCTAAAAACCCACCCTGGGATTCCTCCATAACCTTTAACTTGTGTGAAGGAAATTTTTTATCCCATATTCTGATTAACTCCATGTGAAATATTAACACACCAGGAATTACAGGATCAAATTTCACATCAGAGGACAGTGCATCAGTAATGAAAATATATTAAAAAGGCACCATATTATACAGGCAAGAAAAGAAGCTATGGTTCAGCAATGTAGTTTACAAGTAAAATGTCAATCTAAAGAACTAGACTATGAAAAAAATCTTCTGGATGATTTACAGGAAGACTGCAGCTGCTAAATCCCTCCTCACCTCACCATATGTAATCCTCATGTTTTATTAGAATTCATGAAATTGCCCTGTATTTATGTGATTTTGAAAGCTGGGTGAACTGGAGCTTGTCCCTAGCTTAAAAAGGTTATATGCACTGCTCCACAATACCTTGTCATCTTCTTTTGCAGCCACTTAATATGACTGTATAAGGAAGAACATTTGTGTCTCATGTCTATTGTAAGGCTAATCAAATTTACAGTTCAGTTCCAGGGAGTTAATGCTATTGGGGATTTGGATGAGCTGAGGTTTGGTCATTACAAAATTTCAGCTGTGTTTAATGCTAGTTAAACTGCTTTATCATTCAGAAGGCAGACTATAATTCTTCTTTAAAAACTACTTTCCCCCCAAATAAATGAAAATATATTGCTGCACTGTATTTTTCTCAGCTTGTATTTTTACAGCTATTTCTATGTCAGCAAATAGCAATTTCAGAGCAGAATTCATCTCCTGGGCTTTGCAATGCTCTTTTAA